CTCACCTCTTCATTCCTCACAAGGTAGTAGACATGATGTAAGTCTGGCATTTCATCCCTTCCCAGAATTTGAGACCTTATGCTCTCATATATTGGATCTAGGCCAGCCAAAAATTTAAATGCTCTACCCTCTTCAACCTGTTTGTCATGCTTTTCCTTGTCTCTGGCATTCTCCAAGTCAATGATGAGGTGATGATCCAGCTCTTCCCATAGTCCTTCTAATGTAGCAAAATATGTTGCAACACTCATATCTCCTTGCCTCAAGGCAGCAATGTCTTGATACAGTCTATAAACTCTGGCATTATTTTTTTTTTGCCCATAGGTTTTAGACACTTTTTCCCATATCTTGGCAGCCGTGGAGAAATGATGAACAGTCCTAGCTACTCTTGGAGTCATTGAAGCAAGTATCCAGGACATAACTGTGGCATTCTTCTTGCGCCAAGTTGCATATTCAGCACTCCCCACTTCAGGTTCCTTCTTCTGCCCGTCTAAGTAACCAGTGAGTTCCCGAGATGTGATGAAGAGCATGGCTGAAACAGACCATTCTCTGAAGTTGTACTCATCCAACAACACATTTGTGATCTGTAGGCTGTGCAGATTTGGATTCTCCAGATTAGGAGACCTCCCACAATCCCTAACATCTCTAGAAGACACTTCCCCGGATATGGAAGACATCTTCTCCTATTTGTAAATGTCAAGACTGTAAACACAATATATAGAGAACTGTTTCAAACTTACAGAACTTGCTGCACTGTAAACTCAGTCCTGAGAACCCATCACAGAGCTGAAACACCGAGTACTACACTGCAGTACTGTGCCCTAATTACTGTTGTTGCTGACTATAATCTATTGTGCTACCTTCTGCTGTGTTCTAATCACTGCTGCCGCAGCCTGCAACTTGCTGTGTTGGCTTCTAATGTGTGCTAATTACTGCTATCGCAGGCTCTAACCTTACCCACAAACAGTTCTAGGACTGCTGAGATCAGTCCTCCCTCCTAGATCTGTTCTACACAGATCCCTCTTAGCCGAATGGCTACAGTCTGTTGTACTGTGTCTATTAGGGCATCACCTTTTGGGTCTAACTCCCCTTGGGCCCTACAACCAAGGGAAACCCTAGATGCAGGTCCTGCTGTGTTCTACGACCAACCCTAGGGTTTCTTTGCAGTAACCAAGATAGAAAAGAAGAAGAGAGAGAGTTAGATGCGAGTAGAAGAAGAAGCAGCTGCTGTAACCAGGTGAAAGATTAGAGCTCTGATACCATGTTTGCTGGAATAAGGCTGCCGAATGAGAAGAGAAGAAGAAGAAGGAGAAGATAAGAGAAGGGCGGCAATTCCCTCTTAGCCAGCCCTATTCTATTATATATAAGAGCATTACATAATGTTACATAAATAGACTAGAATGCCCCTAATTAGTGATGGAACACCTAGTCAAATAAAACACTAAATAAGATTAGGCCCAATAACTAATGACTTAAGACCCAACAAAGATAAACAAACAAATTAAGACAGCCGAACCAACATAATATATAATATTATAATATATAGCATTATATGATATCATAATGCATTTTTATATAGTGTAACACTTAATATATATTTTCTCTACTATATATATATATATATAAAATAAGATTTTTATAATATACAAAACATTATAGATTATATTATGTTAAATAATAAATAAGATTTCATATCATGTATAATATTCCAGGAAGAATGGGTGCTTACCTACTCCATTTCCTATATACATACATTACTTAACCATTATTACAAAACAACACAAAGGATTAACAAGGTATTCTTTATGGTTTGTACACTATTGTGGCTTCTATTTTCTTTTATCTTTTGATAATTAACACTAAATTTTATTAAATATAAACTGTAAGGATATGTACAACTTTTCATACGCCCATTGAGAGCATATATCATACTCCAAACCCTTATATGTTGATATTACAACCATGCCCAAAACAATTGATTCCTTTCTACCCCTTGGTTAAAGCATCAGCCAAGCCATTAGCCCACTGTTTTACCCATTGGATTTTGATTTGCATTGGCATTGTTAGCCACTTAAAAAGTTTGAATTGATTTCTATACTGCCACAAAGCTCCTTCCCTGTTCAAAAGCCACTTCTATTTTCTAGTTTCCACTTATAATTAATTGCTTCCATCAACCAAAGAAAGAAAAGTCTCTTCCTTTTATCATTTACTTGATTGCACAGTTTGTTAAACAGCATGCCTAGCCTTATAGAACATAGATAGATGGATGGATGGATAATAGATAAAGCACAAACCTGCATTAGAGCTTCTTGGCACCTTCCTACACTACAAAGACAACGAGCAAGATCATAGTAAAGACTAGCAGAACCCACTATTCCTCGTCTTTCCATGTCTTGCACAATCAACACAGCCTCATCCGCTTTACCTTCCCTCCAAAGAGTATTCACAAGAACTGTATAGAAATCAATAAAATAAGAAGCTTGTACACACTGAAGGAAAAAGAAAATAATCTATTACTGAGGAATGATCAGTCAAATACCTTTGTAGTTCAAAGCATTTGGAATGGAGGATTTACAGACCTTGTTGAAAAACTCATGAACCAAGTTGTACTTGCCACATGCAAACATTACCTGTTCAACAATGGACACTTTCAGCAAGGAAATTCTTAAACCATTAACCAGGAACTGAGTGCAAGACACCATTTTTTTATCAGCTACAGAAGACAGATTTCATTACTTAAGATGACTTGTCTTGTAGAGACCGTAATCAGTCATACTCTAGATGAGAATTCAATAAGAAAAAATTCAGAGAATATAAGAGAAAAGAGAGAGAGAGAGAGAGAAATCGAAGAGAATTCAGAAAAGAGTGTGGATAGCCCATCCCACACTCTTTTCAAGGGCTACACAACAGGGGTAGCCCATCCCCCAACTCAAGTGCAGGTGAGATTCGATCCCAAGTCTCCGCTACCACTAGCAGGAGACCTTACTGTAAAGAACACTTATGTGGACCCCACTGATGTGGTCCCCACAGTGTTCATATAGCAGCAATATTTCTGTTAGATATGACAGTGTTAGTTGGTAGTTATTTCAGTTAGTTATTTCAACTCAAGTGCCCTTTTACAGTTAGCCAATAGTTATATAAATACTAAGAGAGGGTCGGCAGAAATTATGACCGACTCTCTCTCTTTTCTGAAACTCTCTTCGCGTACTTCTTTTCTTCCTCTCTTCTCTTCTTCTTCTCTTCAATTTTTCATCCTTTTTCTTTTAGTAGAAGTTCAGGACTGTTATCAGTCWTGAACCCTAATGGATTTCAGGATCGAAAATAAGAAGAAAGGTAGGAGGAAAGAADAGGAAAAGGGAGGAGAAGCAGTAGAACACAAGAGTTGAAAGGAGGAGCAGAAACTTAATATTCTGCCGCCGCCACTTTAAATAATATTTATAGGTTATGCTCATTACATGGAAAGGACAGATCTGCCCTTAGTCTTTACATAACAAAT